TGACTCTGTAGGTCAACAATTATTCCCTACTAAGCAACTACACACACAGATCAACTTGATCTACCTTTGTAAATATTTCTGTAGTAAAAAAGTAGCAACCAGCAACTATTGCAGAGAGCAAATTCTACAGCAGGCAACTGATAAGCAAAGAATTTTCCTTGTGGCATGTATCTAGATACTACAATCTGGTCACATATTTTTCAGGTTCATTCCTCTTTTAATAAACACTTAGCAATAGCATGTCTCTTCTTCCTCACTATTTAATGTTAAAATCACTTTAAAATGTCAAAGGCTTAGACAGAGAAGTAGAAAAATAAGTGTCTGACTGCATTCAAATAATATCTTCTTAGTGTAATATTAGTGGGAGGAAATGGAAGATTGCCACTGAATTTTAATGAATTCATTAGTTAATTATTGTAAAGCCTCATGAAAGTGCTAAGAATTATTATTACTTTTATTCCCAAGAATTTTTTTATAATAGCAGAGATGGACCTCCCACAATGGCTTTTCTCTACGTTCGAAATACACAACTGGTGCAAAATCACGTTTATTAATTCTCTGCATAATTCAAGTATGGACTTGCCCTCAGAGAGAGATACTGACATATTACCATACAAGTAGCAGCTTTTTTCCTTGTTAATAGGTTTATTTAACTGAATAGGGCAAGCTGTGCTATAGGGTACTGCTCAACAGGAACAAGGATGGTAAGTTAGCCAAAATGTGTACTGCATTTATGGCATACTGAGCCATGTTAAGCCCTAACATAAATTAACAGAACTGTCTCAGAAAATTCACTGAAGCAAAAGTGTCCTTCTGCCAGGCTGAACTTGGCCCACCACCCCCAATTCTGTTGAATTTAATAAGAGAAACAAGTCTTTTCATTTCCTGACTGCAGATAAGGCTGACAAAATATTCTGGAATCAGTTACCAATTTTAAGACCTAATCATTCAGACAGCCAGGCACATGGAAAAGAGAAGCTTTTCTCATTAAGTAATGTCTAAGGGAAAGTTTAAATCTGTATTCCAATAAAACATCTTCGTATTTGTTGCTGCAGGACCCAAGCATGCAACAATGCATTGTGCACTTTAAAAGCTGTCTCACAGAAAGAGATGTGTACGTTCACAGAAAACAGAACTTCTTTTCTGCAAAGGTTTACATAGGAACCTTTGGCAGCAAAATTCCCTGTCATTCAGAAATCTTTGTCACAGGAGTTCTTTGTTTCTTTTCCATTCTAATCATCTGCTGCTTCAAGTTGAATTACCAGTGTCCACTGTTTTAAGTTAGTGACGATTCAGACGTTGCTTACGCCATTTTTTTTCTAAAGATTAATTCATCAATTGACTTCATTTCTTTACATAAACTGTCCTTCTTGCCTCATTTCCCCAATATAGTAGGACAATGATGTGAGAAGCTCTTCAAAAATCAGACTGATTACTTAATATACTGAGACTGGGAACTTGCTGTCTGCATGTAGTGGCTATATAACAGCAACACAGCCTTTCAGTTGCTATTCATGACATGGGCTTTTTTCAGACTGTGACACAGGTTAACACAGAGGAAGAGATACCTACAACACCTACCGCCTCAATGGCCTCCACTGCGGAGGGGAAACCCATCCTTTGCACTGGCATGATATTTATTTTAATTGATCCACATAAAGTGACAGTGAGCCCTATGTACGATGGTCAAAATCTTGACTATTAAAGACAGCACTTCCCTTGAGCTCAGCCTCTTCCTTTCATCTTCACTCTGGCAAGTCCAGTGCCTAAAGGAGTCAATCGAACTTTTTAAAGTGCCAAAGTTGGAAAATATAAAACTGACAACCATGGCTGAAACTCCATCTCCTTTCATACTTTTTACTTGCACCTTTGTTTACTTTACAAGAGAAACCTGCACCACACTGCTCCCTCCTGCCACACACCACCTGCACATTTCCCAAAGGTGTCAGCAGCAGCAAAAGTCTATATAGAGCCAAAACCACAAATGCCACCACGGCAGGGAAAACACAACAATGCAGAAAAAACAGTCCCCAGCAGAATCACCTTTCACAACAGAACAAAAACCAAGGAGATAACGAATAAGGAAGAGGACAAGGAGATATGAAATGACCGGCAGAAAAGAAAGACGTAGGGAAGTAGGAATACGATTTCTTTCTTCAAGTTTGAACAAAAGGGAAAAGAGAAGAGAAAAAAACACAGGCAGAATGCCCGGCTTCTTATAAATCAAGTAAAAAAAACTAACTCTCTTCCAAAATAATAGGTTGTGAACTTAAATATAAAAGCAAGCCTCAAAAGGCTTTACTCCTCATGGCCTCTTTTTCTTCTACTTCTTTGAAACAACAACAAAAAAAAAAGGTGGAGAGATCAAGAAGCTAAATTGTATGTTTGCAGAGCAAACCAGTATTACCATGGTGCTCAAAGAAATTATATTAAAAACCCTACAAATGAACTCTTGTGCTTTACAGATCTTCCTTTTTTTCACTGCCGTCACACTCAAGGAGGACACCCAATTTCAGAGAAGCGGTGTTCAGAATCTCCAAAGTCTTCCTAGTAGGTTACTTTCAAAACTTGAAAAACTGAGTAAACAAGATACCAAAGTACAATTTCCTGCTCTTTCTGAAGCAGGTAAATCTGCTTAGATCTTTGGGGGAAAAGAGGTAAAAAAGCCCTTCTTCC